CCAGCACGATAACGCGGAACTGGAAGTGTCCCCCGGGGTCGGGGTCCTGCGGAGAATCCGTCACTGTCCCCATGACCGGCTGGATCCTGACTGCTGTGCTGGCGGTGACACGGGCAGGTCTCCACCCTTGTCCCCACCCCACCTGGGGACAGGGACGGCTCTGGCCCCGCAGTCACCCGGGCAGACAAACAAACCGTCCCCGGGAGGAGGGAGAAGCTTCTCCGTCCTCATCCTCCTGCCCCCGGGGTGTTGTTCGGCCTTATCCTCCTGCCCCCGGGGTGTTGTTTGCCGTTGTCACATGCCAGGTCTGTCCTGCTGCCCGGCTTTGGTGACAAAGGGACAGCGAGGCTGTGAGTGCACAGACACATTGTTGTCCCCCCTGAGATCCTGGGAGAGCTGGGAGGGACAGGCTCCACAGGGAAGGGGCTCCAGAGTCCCCGCCGGGAAAAGGGATCAGAGGCACTGGACAAAGGTGCTCTTGCCAGCCAGGTCACCCCAGGGGATTTTGCCATGGCCCAGCCATCCCGGGACAGGGAATGACAACTCTCAAGCTGCTGTGACCCCTACATCCCTGCTTGTTGCCCATCATGAAAAACCCGGCCACTGGCATCACTGAAGCTCCATTCGAGGGTGTTGGGAAGTGTAGGATTGCAGGAGTTGCTCCAGCACCTCTGTGATGGTCCAGGTGTGTTCCTGCACTCCAGGGATACCCACCCAGGGCCGTGGGGACACCCCAGGGGTGGGTGCTGCAGTAGGGACAGGATCCCACGCTGGAGCACCACTGGAAGGGGATGCTCAGAACCCCTGGCACTGATCATCCCCAGCCAGGCTCAGAGCCAGCCCAGTCTCACCCCATCCCAACACACCCCAAACATGGGAGACACCACAAGGATTTCAAGCAGTTGTGTTTATTGAGCCTCCAAGATTTAATATCCACTAATATTAAATAACTCCACTCCTGAGGAAACTCCACAGAAGGGACTGCTCTTCCACGCAGTGTCAGAACAGGATCTCGAGCAGCACCCGGAGCCAAAGCAGTTCCCTGTCCCTGCAATGCAGGTGAGTGGAGCCCAGGAGTGGATCCTGCCCGGAGGAGCTCATGGCTCGGGAAGGAGCCGGGATCTGGCTCTGCAGAGCTCCCACTGCTGGAGGACTGGTAAAGTACCACATAGCAACGAACCCCTCAGGAATGGGCTCAATTCAGCTCCACGCTCTGCTTGGACCTGAAAAAAATAATCCAGCTGAGGGAGGAGCAGTCAGGTTTGGTGCTGTGCCAGATCCCACCCGCACTCAGGAGCTCCTGGCTGTCCCCTCCCCACCCCAGAGTGGTTTTGGGGTAGCTCAGGCCTGGCCTCAGCCCCATATCCGCAGGACTCATCCAACAGTCTCCAGACACAGGAGTCATCACAGACCAGGCTGTGCTGCCACTGATCCCACCCAGGCACTGCCCCCGGGGAAACACTCAAATGGTTGGGGTTGGAAGGGACCTTAAAGCCCATCTTGTTCCCATCCCCTGCCATGGGCAGGGACACTTTCCACTAGCCCAGGTTGCTCCAAGCCCTGTCCAACCTGGCCTTGGACACTTCCAGGGATGGGGCAGCCACAGCTTCTCTGGGCAACCTGGGCCTCCTCACCCTCACAGGGAAGGATTTCCCCCTGATGTCTGATCCAAACCTCCTGCCCAGCCAGCACCAGGACACTCACTTGCTCCACGCTGCAGCTTCCCCACGACTCAGGCCCTACAGGAAGCAAACCAGACCCCCTGGGAGAGGGTTCACAAGCTCTCATTCTCTCTCAGTGAGTAATTCCTGAAAACACAGAGCCAGAGTGAAGCTGAAGGATCCCTGTAAATCCATGGCTCAGATCCCCCCACATAAACCCCAGCCCTCCACCCACCACAACACCCCTGCCCTCCGTGCCCAATATTTATCCCTCCTCCCCAGCAGGAGTTTCCCTGCCTCCCATCCAGCCTTCCCCAAGGAGCGAGGCTGGCACAGCCTGTCTTCCCACTGGCCCCTCTCAGGACAGGACACACCCGCAGAGAGCCCTAGACCAGGGTGAATTTTCACTCTTCCTCCTTTTTCGACCACAAGATCGGTATTCAGATCCAATGGGAAAGGGAACTGGAGGGATGAGCTGTGGAGCTCCAACACGGATACCACGTTCCTACCTGGGGTCTATCCATCAGGCAGGAGAGCTCTGAAACACCCAGGAACCCTGAAAGACATCACAAAACCCTTAAAAAAAAATCAGCAGCAGGCTGCAGATTCCTGTGGACACATCCCTGACTCATCCCACCCTGAAACTACAAGGAACAGCCCAATTCCCCAAAATATATAGGAGGGGCGAGTGACAGCCACGGGCAGAGGAGGCCCAGCAGTCAAAGACCTTCCCGTTGCTCTGGCATGTTGTTGGAGACCTGCAGCCACTGTGTGGAGCCACAGCTCTTGGATAAACATGCGGATAAACACCGAGCTGAGCCAGGAAAGCCTGTGACAGTGATCCACCGGCTTCGGATCAGGGTTGCTTCCCAGTTTTCTGCCTCTAGCTTGGCCCAGAGAGAGGAGTGCCCTTATTCCACACACACACGATCTTGGTGGAACAAGAACTAAGGGCAGTCTGCAGGGCCCAGCAGAGGATCCACATCCCTGGAAGAAGGACATGCTGGCACCGTCCTAAGGGCAGAGGGGCAGGAAACGCTGCTGGTCCCTGCTCTGGCCCAGGGAGGCCACGAAACCACCCAAATTCCCAACCTAAAGGAGAATCCAGGGCCTGGAACTCCCACCTCACCTGCAGAATGCTGCCAGAGCGAGGCTGCCACCAGCCATCCCACACTCCGGGATCACCAGGATGCTGCTGGGGAAGAACACAGTCTTGAGCTTCAGGTACATAAAGTATCTTAAAACAACAGGAAGGTGGGATCCCCGCCCGCTCCCACCTCCCTGTGCAGCAATTCGGACCCCAGGAGCAGGGATCTGGGGCAGCCGCTTCCTTCCACTCCCCCCAGCTCCGGCCCCTCCCGGGCCGTGTATTTTCCCGAGATGTTGCCGGACAGTTACGGAGGC